TGGCCGTGGACCACCGGCACGAGGCTTTGTATCCGTCGCTGCCCCGCGCTGGTCCAACCCGCCGGGGGGAAGCTGCCAAGAGCCACCTTGCTGTCACCCTGCCAGGCCAGCACCAGGCGGGAAAGGGAACAAGCAGGACGCACTGTGTGCTGCTCACTCAGGTCACCTCTACGTAACAGTAACACAAGGCACCACAAATCTTACACTTAACAAAAGGTTAAAAATTTAAATACTCTCAAACTTTAGTGCAAGGCAAGCAAATACCACAGGTCCAAGTAGGTGCTCAGCCCACCCATGGGGCCTGGCTCAGAACGAGCACGAGGCAGCAGCGCGCACACGTGCACACACACACATGCGCGCGCACACACACACACATACACACGCACACAGAACAGACCGGTTATTGCTAGGGACACAGCTGGGACCAAGTGTGCACAGGACGAGACAAGCAGAACGGACAGGCAGGAGAGCAGGGCCAAGTGACACTGCTCCCCAGAGACGGGGGGGCTCCAGCGCAGGCTCAGGCCCCTCTCCCTCCTGCACTGCCCTACGGCACAAGAGCTGTGCTGCCAGCAGCTCCTGGGCCACGTGCTGGAGGACCCCCCTCCTCAGGACGGGCACTAAGCAAAGCCGGTGTAGCAGGTAGGCTGGTTCCAGCCTTGCTCCCTCTGGGGTCATGGTGCACAGCGCAGCCCCAGCAGGGGACGCTTCCTTTACCACGGCGTTGTCCCCCAAGAGCGGGACCCCTTACGTGTCTGAGGTCTGACTGCATGCCAGCTGCACGGACACACTCGTGCCACTGCACGCCAGCCGCCGATAGCAAGCTGGGCCCAGGGCCTGCCTGCACCCACCAGCTTTCCACAGCAAGCACAGATGGCTGGTCCAAAGCTGGCGGGACTGTGCCGGGGACCTCCTGCACCATGTGGGACATCAGATCAACCCTTCAGACCCCGCAGCAGTTACCGTCTGGGCAGGTGCTGTACGAGCAGCTATGTCCTGCCATGCTGCAGGTGGCCTGCCAAGGGTCTGAACAGAGGGCCGGGATCAGTGCTCAGGAGCTGGCAGCATGTGCGAGACAAGGCAGGAGGAAGCAGCCTCCAGCAGACAGGGAAGCAGGGATGAAGCAGCGACGCTGTGCTGCCAGGATGCGATGATAGACGCTTTGGCACAGCAGTTTCCTGTGCCTCAAGGCTGAGCAATGGACTCCTCTGGAGCCAGGGACGCCTCAGCATGGCCAGAAAGGTCCAGGAAAGATGCTTTAGACACCTCAAGGCACAGAAGGCCCTTGCCCAGGACTCCCTGGTACAAAGCTGGGACTGTCACTCCCCCCATAGGAGGACATTTGTGCCTGTGACAGGGTGGGGGCAGTGCAGGCCCCCACCTATAGATTAAAACCCACTATGTGATATGTACAGATCAACGTATATAAATATACACCAAACCTGCAGCGCCGCTTTGGCACCGTGGAATGTGTCAGCAGAGCTGCTCCAGCCTGGCCTCGGCCCACGTCAGCGCCATCCCTCCCTCCCACCCTCGGCCCAGGAGGGGAGCAGCAGCCGGCGGGCAGCAGCACAATCCCAAGTGGCAGATTCAGGAACATCCAGGTCTGTCTTAGGGGTGATGGCTTGCCAACGGTTAGAGGCTCCCCCGCCCGAGGCACACGGTGCATGCTGCTGCCAGCCCTGAAGCCATCCTCAGTCTTCAAATACAGATGTGCAAAGCTGTAAACAACTCCACCTTGTGGGGCCACTGCTACCTTGTCCTGCAGGCTGGCCTGTTGTTCTGCTGGGCACCCGGAGAGGCAAGAGGGTCCCAGGGGCTGGAGAACAAGCTGTGCTCTACAGCCGGGTGGGCTCTTCCTCGCTGTCGCTGCAGTTTCCACAACAGTCCTGAAGTCAGAAGGGCATCGAGAGGGAGGAGGGAGAGAGGAGCACAGCAAGCAGAGGGTGAGCACAGTCACACAAACCAGCCTACAGCTGCTCTTTGGCAGGCAAGGGCCAGGCTCCCCAGTCTGTGTGCAGGAGAGCTACACAGAGGGATTGGGCCAGAGGGGACCCCAAGTCTGCGGAGGAACAGCGTAGCTGCATCTCGGGGATTGGCTCCTGGCAGACGTACGCACAAGCACATAGCTGACTAGCTCAGAAGCTGGGGGGAAGATAGGCTCCCCAGACTACAGCCACCCCAGGGCACAGCTCAGCGCCAGCAGAGAGAATCTGCCCCAGGCAAGCCTCATCAAGCCAGAAAGGCGGATGAAGCCCTCTTGCTGGAACAGGAGGGAGTCTGGGCACAGGGGCAGTGACGTATCCTTCACAGTTTCTCAACCCTTCTGTGATGTCTTGCTCATCTGAACAGGGGAGGGAAAGGAACCCTGAGCTTCCTGTGGCCCCCTGGGAGCAGAGCTCCCAGCAGTGGCAATGTGGGGGCAGCTTCGGCTCAGGCTGGGGGCAAGGCTCCCCTGCAGCGAGGAAGGCAGCGAGAGCAGGGAAGCAGGATTAGTGGCTCAGGGGGCAGTTAGAACAACAAGCAGCATGTGCTCTGCTGGGGGAAGGGGTTAGGCACTGAAGGACAAGACTCCTCTCTCCCAGATCTTGCCATGTCCACGGGCCACCAGGTATTTCCCTGAGCAGAGCAGCCAGGAGGGAGACTGCTCACCTCTGGAAAGAGAAAACAGGTGGCAAATCACAGCTCAATCCCTGCCACAGGCAGCCCATCCTTGGGCAGGTTCTGCCTGCCTAAGGAAGAGCACACAGCAGGGTACCCCAGTCCAGGGCTAGCTCCAGTTAGGTCAGCACATAAGGCTCCCACCAAACAGTGAAGCACAACTTGGAGCTAGGCGGGGAAGGAGTAAGTCAGCGCCGGGTGGCTGCAACTGGGTCCAGAGCAGGCCAGAGCCAACCATGCTCAAGTCCCACAGCTGCAAGCAGCTGTTGAAAGACAGCAGCCCAGACTTTGCCAGTCCTGGAAAGGCAAAGGCTGTTCTGGCCCAGGGAAGACAGGCAGGCAAGCAAACCAATAGCAATGCTCAAGATATTCCCATCCTCCTCATCCCTCAAAAGCACTGCTCCAAGAAGTACTCCGCCTGTTCCAGATCTAGCAGAATTGCTCTGGGGAGCCCACAAGCCCCATACCAAGAGCAAGGTCTTCCTCAGGGATGGAAGCATTCACATAGGAAGGGAGAGGACTTGCCTTGTTAGTGCCTTCAGCAACATCCCTCCACCTGTACAACTGCAGCATGTTTAGCTGGGACACTTGGTCCCAGTCTTCTCATGTGCAGCGTGGGGAGTGGCAGCCAGGCGAGGGCTGGCTCACTGCGGCAGGCCTATCTCATTGGTAGGACAGAGGAGGGGTTCAGAGAAGGCAATGGGGCTCCCTGCTGCCTTGCACAGGTCCCCTGAGAGCCCTGGAGTCAGGCCACCTGGCACAGGGAGACACTGTGCCTGCTGCCCCCTTGTATCCATCGCCCTGCCAGATCCGCCTGGCACTGGTGGGCAGCAGGCTCAGTGCTGCCAGCAGACTTGCTGAGGAAGAAATGCTGGGCTAACACTCTCACCTGTCTGCTGAAGAAGCGCTGAAGTAAGCCCTTTTTGGGCTGCGGAGAGGGCTGTCCTTTCCAGTCCAGGTCTGGGGGTACTGTGCCATCTGTGCTAAAGACATTCAGCTCCTTAAAACACTCTGTCTCGATCATCTGGAAGAGGGAAAAGACGGCTGCAGCAGCTGCCAGACACCTACATAAAAAGCCCAGTATCGAGAGCCCAGCAGAGTGCAAGAGCAGCAGGGACAGCATGGAGCCTGCACCCCGTAGGACACTGCTTTCAGTCAGCCTGGCGAGCAAAAGCAGGAGTGAAGATCTGTCCTGTGAAAGGGGGCACCCCCCCACCAGTCCCCACCTACCTCGTTCTGCCAAGGAATGGGCACGCTTCCCGTAGCAAACTTCTGGTAGAAGTCATTGTCTGTGGGCTCCAGCTCAACCCCCTTCACCGTGGAGAACTGCTCGATGTCCAGAACATCCTTGCAGTAGATGGCTTGGGGCTAAAGAGCACAAAATCTGCTCAAATGCCAGGCTCCACAATGATGCCATCCCACTCAAATAACTGTGGCTCCTGGCCGAGCCGGGGCCCCTTCTCCCTGCAGCCCAGAGCTTGCTGGAGCCCCATTCTGCCAGGCTGGAAGAACTAGCCAGATCCACTTGCAGCTAGCATCCCTCAGGCCAGCAGCTAGAGCTCCAGAAACATCCCTGCACAGGAGGGGAGGGAGAGGGCCCCACCTCCTCAGGTGAGCCCCCTCTCCCCCCCCCGCCCCAGGACTTCTGCTTCCCTTGACAGACAGCATCAGTAACTGAAGAGGCTGAGATGCAGACCACCCTTCCTGGATAGGCACTTACATCTGGCTTGAAGGGCGGTTCCAGCATGCCTGCTTCCAGCCTCCGGAAGTTGAGGTGCTTGAAAAGAGGATGCTCCTTCACTTCCCTGGCCCCAGCTCCTCGGCACCCCAGGCGCTCCAGAGGGTCTTTGCACAGAAGCTGCAACAAAAGGGAATCAGCACTGCAGGTGGGGGTCCCTGTGGTACGTCTCTAAGGACAGCGTGAGCTCACCAGCCAGCACCGTGAGGAATTAGGGCACCCTGAACCTTCCTGTGCTGCCTTGTCAGAGCGAGAACAAGGGAACCTGGCTGCCACCAGCACCTCCACGGTGAGCAGCCTCGACACTTGGCTACTATGTGCAAAGGGATGGCGGGTGCAAAGGGACAGGGATGCCCAGTCGTACCATGGTACAGAGGGAGCGGGCACAGGGCGAGAACTTCTCTGAGTACTCCTCCTGCACATCCTTCACCAATCGCTCCACCTCCTCCCGCTTAATCTTCTTCTTGCGCTGCTGGAAGGGGGACTGCCCCTCGATCATCTCGTACACCAGGCAGCCCAGAGCCCACCAGTCTGGGCTGAATGTGTAGCGTTCATTCTTCACCACCTCTGGAGCTGCACAGGAGCAGGGGAAAGGGATGTGTGAGGGCAGGGAGTGCGTGCGTGCAGTCAGAGCACGCTTTCTGACTAAACTGGGGCCACTTACCCATGTAGCCAACTGTCCCCACCCGACCCTTGATGGTTTGGCCCTCTGGCACGTGCACAGCTAGCCCCAGATCTGAGATACGGATGTGACCTGCACAAAGGAAAGGGCAAGTTAACAGGACAGGGCCAAGGGACAGTACTTGAAGCTGCCAAGAACACAAGGCAACCCTGGTTCAAGCATGGGAAGGGAGAAAGACCCAGACCCAGAGCGCCTCTTCACCCTGCACTCACCGTGGTCATCTAGCAATATGTTTTCTGGCTTCAGATCCCTACGGAGGAAGAGACTTAATTAGCAAGATCAACTGTATGCTGTAGTCCTTGTTGCTGTCAAAGTAAGGATACAGGAAGCAGCAACGTATCAAAGTCACAGACAAGTAGCAGAGGGACGAAACGCCCCTGCCCCAGGCACACAGGTAACCTCCTCCCATGGTTAGCCCTGCAAACTCTCCCCTCCTAGAGAGAGGGACAGAGGCAGGTCACAACAGTGACTTCAACCCTCCAGGAGAAGGAAGCGGTGAGCGCACTGCTGCTTCCTTCTTTGCTAGTGCAGAACTCAGCACAGAGCTGGACCTGTAAGAGGGAAGGAGCTGGGACTTCTGCTTGCCCTCTCCCACGCTCCAAGGCCAGTCGTGGGAAAGGCAGAAGGTAGGACTAGAAGGCGCTTTCTGGCTCCGCGTCCAGCCACGCTATCCCTAATGCTGTATCACACAACCCAGTGAGTATAGTCAGCTTATTCTCCCTCCTGCTCAGCTCCCAGCCTAAGTGCACCACGGCAGCTTACCCTCCTTTGTTCTGGTGTCAATACTGTCTGTAGAGTTAAGCACCCAAGTGTGCACCCTGAGGCATTCACAGCAGGATCACATCCTGTTCTTGGTGCTCATTTACCAGTATAAGCAGCCAAGCTCTCCTGTCTCTCCCATGAGATCAGCTTTCCATTCCTGATCCCCACTCACCCAGCTCTATGCTGATTTCAAGTCTGAGTTTATTTTCTTGAGCAGACAGACCCAGCTAGACCGGTAAGAGCAGCAGGAACCCTCTTGTTTCTGCAGCTGGTACAAGGCCTCCCAGCGGGGGATAGGCAGCACGCACCTGTACACTATCCTCTCCTGGTGCAAGTCCTCGAGGCCGCAGCAGATCTCGGCAGCATAGAAAGCTGCCCGGGGCTCCTCAAAGCCAGCCTCTCCCATGTGGTAGATATGGAACTTGAGGTCCCCTCCATTCATGAGGGTCAGCACTAGGCAGAGAGCATCTTTAGTTTCATATGCATAGGCTAAGCTCACCTGCAAGTCAGGGCAGAAAGGCTGTTAGAAGACACAGCTGCAATAGGGAGGTGCCCATACTCTGATGGACACCTTGTCACCCCAGAAGCCAGCCACAGACAGCAGGACGGAGGTGCCGCAAACCCCCATCCCCTACCAGACGCAAAAAGGCTGAGGATAGGGCCTTTGCCAGCAGACGAGGCAGAGAGGGAACTGTTCAAACCCAGAGGCCCAGCATCCCCTGCACAGCTCCATCTTTCCTCAGACGGAGAGGATACTGTTCTCCTTGAGCCAAAGCTGCTCCCCTTGGAGGGCAAGCAGTGCCCAAGAGCAACCCCAGGGCAGCGTCTGATGAATCCTCCATAATGGGAGGTGTCAGGCAGCCCTGCCTATGGGAGCCCTGTGACCTGCCTATCGGAGCATTTAGGTCACCTTGTGGAGGCAGCAGGAGGTCCTGCCAGATCCCAGACTCATGGGAGGGAAGTGAAGATCAGCAGCTGCCAAGACCCTATCCCATGGGCAGGGCCTACTCCTGCCTCTCCACACAGGGCGAGGAGCACAGAGGTGCTGGGCTGGCTGATTGCAGCAGAAATCAACCACCGCAGCCCCGTGGTGCAAAGTGAGAGCAATTCCTATGTACTTACTACAAACCTACTGTTCACTTTTTCCAGGATCTGCTTTTCATTCAGGGCCATGGCCTCTCCCTTCCGCTTTTTGATTCGTTTCTTCTCCAACTTCTTGCAGGCGTACATCTTCCCCGTGGCACGTACTTGGCAGGCACAAACCTGGAGGAGGGACAAGGATCAATACCCTCCCACTGCCACATCCAGGGTGAGGGTCTGTGGGTCTATGTCCTGCTCTCAGAAAGAGACATGCGAAGGCAGATGCCCTTGTCATAACTTCACTCTGAACAGCTCCATTAGCAGACAACCAGGAGGTGTCTGAGGCCCAGCACCTGGCAAGACAGGAGGCCACTCCAGAAACAGAAGGAAGCCTGAGAGCAACAGTTTTCTGGACTGCCATTTTCCCTGCCAAGACACTAGGAATAGATCTGACCTTCTACCCAGGCGGCAGTGTGCACTGCAAAGCACATGCTACCCACCTATGCAACCACCTCCTGCACGTCCTGTGTCCGGCAAGAGGGGATCTCCTGCCCATCAGAGGGGAAGTGACAGATAATGCAATGCCCGGAGTGCAGTGGGGCCCGACACAAAGCCCAGGAGAATATCCTGGCGAAATCCCCCAGCCCAGCCAGCCATAGCACCTGCCTGGGTCAGCTCAGACACTCATCTCCCAGTGGGCAAAGGTGGCTGCTTGGTGGCCTGAATGCAGAAGAAATGCTGGTCACTCACCTCCCCAAAGCCACCCTTGCCCAGCACACGGTACTGGCGGAAAGTGTTTTTGGTCACTGGCTGCCTGTGAGGCAAAGGAAACTTCAGTGAGAGGGGAACAGGGACGGAGATAGCAGGGGCTGAATCCCAAACCACTCCCATGCCCTGGCCTGAGGGATTGTAGCTCACCCCAGAACCCCTGCTCAAACAGACCTTGCTCCTCTGCAAGGCAGGCAAGCTGGGGTAGCTGGTAGAGGCTGCTTGTGCCAGAAAAGGGCCCTGAAGGAGAGCGAGAGCAGGCAAAGGCCAGACCTTCAGTTCCCGCCGGGGCTCAGCACAGGAAGGAGCTGCAAGGATTCCTCAAGGCAGCCACTGCGCTGCACGGTTTAAGTCTCTCAGGGATGCTGGGGAACATTACCGTTCCAGCCATTTCCACTGTAGGAAGCGGTTGAAGTACAAGCTGTCGAGGTAGTCAGCGAAGGGAGCCACGCTCAGGTAATCGTGGATAAGCCTAGGAGAGAGCAGAGAGCCAGCAAGGCTGCTGAGAGCTGTTGTCAGCCGCAGAACAGGCCAGCGGTCCAAGCAAAGACAAGATAAGCAGCCCCAACAAGAGCCCAATCTCCTTGCCATCCCCTCACCCAGCCTGGCGCTGCACTGAGTCACCCACATACCCTGCACAGCCCTGGCCCAGAAAGCCCACCCTCTATGCTCGCACACAGAAGCCTGATGCAAAAAAGGTGATGTGTTGGAAGTACTGCTGTGACAAAAGCAGCACCCTGGGACTGAGCTGGCACTGCTAATTATGGCCTCTGCATCAGCTCTGGCTGTGGGACAAAGGGGGACAACGGGGCTCTTGGCAATTGCCCCTCTGCTTGCATGGCAAATGCATGCACAAGGCTGTAATCAGCTGCTTCAAGCTGCTAGCAGCATTCAGCACAGGGCACGGAGCTGTTCAGTTTCAGATGAATATCCAGCACAAAAGGCCACAGGAGATCCTGCTCGAGAGAGCTAACTGCCTTGGAGACTGGTGCCAGCGCTGCCCAGCGGAGTAAAGAGCCTTAGACATAGTGTCTAGACTGAAGACATGCATCAAGGAGAAGCGGATGGGTCCTTCCCCTTTCAGAGCTTGCCAAGAGAAGGCAGGGCCCAGCCCGGAGGCTCTGCATTCAGATAGCGACACTAGTTACCACGCACAGAGTTAACGCTCCCCAGAAGACTGCAGCAAACCCATTGCCACAGCCCTGCGCTCGATTAGGCAACCGTGCTCAAGCTACTGTTCAGGGAGGGGCGGAGGCCATAAGCCCAGTTTGCCTAACAGCTTCCTCTTCACACCCAGATCCAAGACCTCAGTCACTGCTTCTGCGAAGAATCCAAGGAAGAGAGGTGACTCAGATTCCTGCAGCAACAGCTACCATAACCTAACCACAACGGCCACATCTGTGGACAGTGGGAGAGGACAGCTGGCACTGGGACTGCACCAGTCAGCACTGCATTACGGGTGACTACGAGACCCAGACACAAGACCAGTATGCTGAGGCTTGCCAAAACGGGGTCTTCCCTAAGGGCAGCTCAGACCCATGGCAGATTGTGAGGCAGGACAAAGGTTTCTGTTGCAACTCGCGGCCTGCAGAGCCCACAGGAGCTCCCTGTAGCTGTGCTGGCCAAACTCGTGTGGCTCGCTGCAAAGTGCTAGCCTGAAATTCCCAAGGCTTCAGCCCGAGCAGTCCCAACCTTAGCACCAGCCCTCACTGCCCTGGGGGAAGGGACCACGATGGATGAGGCGAGTTAGCTGCAGGATCTATCATTGGGCCATGGTGCAACCTGCGGGCAGGCCCCAGCCCTCCGACTTACTTAGTAGATTCTTTGAAGAGCTCCTTGGAAGGTTCCTGCTCCAGCCTCTCACAACAGGCACTCACCAGCTGTGAAGGGACTTCAGGCACATGGTCCTCGCTCTGGGGACAAAGGGATGAAGTCAGACACAGGAGCAGAGCCTGAGGGCCCAGCCTAGAAAGATGAACCCACAGGAACAGCACACAGGTGCCCATCTGATTTAGGGCCAGAGGGAAAAGCAGCACAGTCACTTGCGGGTGACGGGGGGCTCTGTACTCACCGCAGGGCCCAGCATATTCACTGCAGCAGGACATGGGTAATGACAATTGTTGGCTTTCCAACCGCTTTCCTACTTTTGCCAGCAGCAAACAGTCCTCTCACTCACCTTTGGCTTCAAGTACTTTTCAATCAGGTGCTGCCCGCATTCCTTCCGCTTCTCATCTGGAGCCACTTCGTACCCTGCCTGCACAGAGCAAACACCGTCAGGAGCAGGCCCAGCCTGTAACGGAGCCTTGCTGCCAGGCAACAGCTGCACAGCAGCAACACCCTGCCCAAGGTACCAAGATCCTATGCTTTCTTGGAGAACCAGATCTCCAGCAAACAGCTCCCTAAGTAAAGGCCCAGCCCTATCCTGGAGAAACTGCAGCTCACAGGTTCTTCCTTCCGGAAAACCCTACAGGCCCAGAAGTACCTGGCCACAGCTGCAATGCCCAGGGCCAACCAGTCTGTGCCCAGAACACCAAGAACATCCCTACTTCCCCCAAAGAAGCCTGATGGGCTTTGCTCTTACCACAGCATCCAAGAACTTGACACAGCGTGACAGCTCAGGTCGTGTCTCGCAGAACTGCCGAAAGAGCATGTGCCCAATGGGCTGCTTCTCACACAGGCTGTGGTAGTCCCGCTCTGCAAACATGGAGGAGAAGATCATGCACTGCCAACCCCAAAACAGCAGCCACAGCCCACCACCCTGGCCATCGGCAGCTGTGGAGAGGCTTGTGACTAGTCAGCTGGCTGCTCACACAGGCCCTGCCAGCCTGAGACTCCCAGGACAATGAAATACACCCAACGGGGACAAGAGGCTGGCATGACTGAGCTTTTATGTCACCCTGTGGAAGAGCTTTCTTCCCTGAAAGAAGTTGGAACATCTCTTCTGCACTATTTGCCCCCTCTTGTTTCTCGGTAAGCATCTTGGTATCTCCTGCTTGGATGGAAGCTCTCTTCTCAATCCTCTACTCAGAGAGATGAATTGACTGTTCCAGACACGTAACTTTCTTCGGGAATAAGAGAAACACTCTGAGCTTGTTCCTAGGCAGATCCCCCAGGCAAGAGTTGCTCTGATGGCACTTACAATGCCTTCAAATTTACCAAGGTCCTGCTGGGAACGGTGGTACTGAAATGGAGAGCACCATTTCCATAGTGGTCCTGTTAATGCTGCATACAGCAATTAGACCACCTCTGCTTTACTGGACAGCTGCCTGTTGGTACATCAGCGCCTACTGCCCTCCAGAGCCGTTTCCTCTGGCAGTTCCCCATGCCCCTCTCCCCAAGGTCCCCTGCATTCTGGCATGCCAGGCCCAAACACCTTTGACTATCCAGAGCACTTCCAGCTCAATAAAAGGTTAGTGATCTGTCCTCTTTTCTCCAGCTATCTTTAAAATGGCTTTTTTCCCCTGAACATCCTTAGGCTTTTTTCCCCTTCCAGCTCACCAGTAAAATATCAGCTAGTCTTGTGCCAGAGCAGATTTCTATTACAGTCATTGCCACAGAGAGTCACAGGCTGCCTGGAATACAGATGTGCAGCCTTTCCCTGGCTCTTAGGGACTCTTCCACGCTCCCTGTAAGCGTGACACAGCAGGACACTTACTCTGCTACTCAAGCCAAACCCCAGAGAGGACTGTCTCAGCTGTCCATAAAGATCCCAGCGCTGGGGGTTTTACCCTCTTCCTCTCCTGCCAAATTATGTCAGAGCTCCCTGTGCTGTTAGAAAGCTCTTTGTGAAATCTGACCTCTGCCTTCCCTGCTGCAGCATCCATCCAGTGCCTGGCAGCCCCATGAGCACCCACCTGTGCTTCACCCTGCCCTGGGCCCTTCGCACTCCCCTGTACTCCGCTGGGTACTGCAGGCCTTCCCCACTCCGCACAGCAGTTTCTCCCGAGGAAGCTGTGGCTTCCTGACGGGTGCACAAGAGACAGCTCGGCCGGCGGTGGGGGAGGGGGCCATTGCACCAGCTCGGCCCGTGCCGGGCTGTTTCCTTGTCTGCAGGGAAAGGAGTTCCCTTTAGCTGGGGAAGACAAGGGTTTGCAGCCAGCAAGATCAGAAGTTTTCAGTTGCCCTTACAGCTGCCCAGGCTCACTCTGCGGTCAGAGCACGCAAAGCAGGCAGCCAGCTCCACCATGCTGGCGATCCTGCCAAACCTCTGCAATAGGAAGCAAATGTTTTTCTAGCAGGCTGCGAGGGCAAAACAAAGACAGCAAAAGGTGACCAACGCATGAGGAACGGGGCGTCTCTCCCATGGGGGAACCGAGAGACAGCCACCACTGGGGCAGAAGCACGTCTCTTGTGCCTCCTCAAGGGGAAGTGGGGGCATGGGCTGTGACAGCCAGAGGCTGGGAGGGACTCGCCTCCCAAAGCAACACAACAGCAGTGTCCTGGACACTGGGACAACAGAGACAGACAGAGCACCAGCACTCACCACTGGCAAATGGGCAGCATAACAAAGATGAACTTCAATGCTGGAAAACATATGACACCCACAGGAAGGGCAGCTGCACTCAGAGGAGAGGCCTCAGCTGAAGGAAAGCTCTGCTGAGGGCACACAACAGTCAGAAAAGCAGAAAGAGGTTGGGAACGCCAAGATGTGAACTACACAGAGAGCCCTTGCCAGAAATGCATTCAGTGGTCAGGACTTGCTCCAGAGATGCAGTTTTCAGCAAAACCAGGGCTAGGGAGTCCTACTTGTTACGCTCAGCTCTGAAGGCCACCTGAGGTAGATGGTGCATGGCACACGCAGGGCAGCAGGTCTGGGCTACTGTAAGCTTGGAGGTACAGCATGGATGATGGAAGTGGAATTAGTCCAGCTGCTACAGCCCCATGTGCCCTGACATTGAGCCAGACCCTTCTCCTTGGGGCCACCAGGTTCTGAAATGCTTGGGCAGAGTAGAATTGGGTCTGCAGCTGCAGAAACCTCCCGGACCCAGCCAGCTCAGTGACGTCGGCTCTGAAGCAAGGCTAACCAGCGTGCCACCACTCCACCTGGCAGCTGAATCCAGACTGACAACTTAAAGCAGCTCTCCCTTTCCCAAAAAGATGTCACAGGTTTATCATACAGCTTTCCTACTCCCCAGCGCTCCTTGTTCAAGAACCGAAGCCATGTCCCAACACAATTTCACATGATATCAGGACCAAGCCTGCTGCACAAACAACATTAAAACCATGAACAGTACAAAGTGCAATACTAAAATGACAGACCAAGCCCTGCCCAACTGCACAACTCTCATCCATGCTGCACAGCAAGAACACAGTTTTGCCTGGAGTAAAGCTGCTGTATTAGAAGCTAAGGCCTACAGTTCAGAACTGAGTCCTAGCCAGCGAGTCCAGAGGACGTGAGCAGAAGCTGTTATTAATGCAAAGGCACCTCTGAGCTATGCTCCAAAGCTCTGCAACACTGAGCAGGTCTGTTTCCACAGAGAAAGGTGCATATCTCTAGTAAAACCCATCACAGTCTAGAAGGCTAGTGAACACATCAACAGGTATTGTCCAGCAAGAGCCATGCAGCTGTGACTTACCTACCCACCCCTTCTTTCCTGCACCCCTAACTCTGAGTGAGTCTGGCTGTGCTTTGGCCAATGCGTGCCCCATTACGCGTCCTTGACCTCTGCATGACTCAGTCTCATTCAAGTGCATCCAGCTTTGGCAGCACAAGGCATGAACAGCCCCATCAGCTGCACGCACTCACCCAAACACACCACTCCAGAGCAGAGCCAGGGCATTGCTCAGCTCCCACCAAAAGACACGTCTTACCAAGGGTTTGTCGAAGATCCTCACAGAGGCTGATATGGGGGAACTGCAGCATCTGACGCCATTTCTTACTCTTGCCCTTCCGGTTTCCGCCACCACCTGCAGGAGATACAAAATTGGTATTATGCGTTACGAATGAAGGAGATCCAATTACAGCCCAATCTCACAGTGCTAAGAGCCAAGAGAGGTGACACCCTTCTGGTCATTTACACAAGCAAGTTCAGGCAAGAGTCCGTGCAGAAAAACAAGATACAAGTGGTATCGCTGCCTCTTGGCTGGCAGAACAAAAGAGCCGGAGTCTCAGCCTGACTACTGCAGGAAGTAGATGGACTAACCATTCTGGCTGTCCAAAGGCAGCACACAACCGTGATCAGGAACAGTGATACTCTTCATCTATCCATTTCAGTTACTCATATTTAAGACTGGAAAATCAAGGCACAGAGACAGGAGCGCCTGAAGCCACAGGTTGTTCTAGTTCTGCACAGGAGTTCTTGGCTCCCAGGCCTGTCCTCGGGACCTCTGCATAACTAATCACCTTTCGAAACCAAGCCTTGCTCGGTGTGAAGCTCTTCACTGTGCCGTTTCCTGCTGTAGTTGAGATGTTCATGCCACCTCCTCATTCCAGACTGATTGCTTACTTCAGGGAGGGGCTCTTAGAGAAAGGACATGAAGCTGGGAGACAGGAATTCCTGCCCTAATCCCTCCTCCACAGAAAACTTACTGCATTGCCCGGGGCTCATCACTTCGGGTTTCCCACCTGTGAAGTGGGGACACTCCCCCCTCTCTCCAGAGATAAGCTAGCCTCAGAAAATAAAGATCTAAGAGCTAGATAGCATTCCAGCTTGAGCTGTTGGAGTAAATGGCCACTGCTGTAAGACAGGGTGGGAAAACTTCTAGATAGACCAAAAAATTTACATTACAGCAAGCACTAAGTACTGAAATACTTGGATGCCTGATTGCTCACATCAGCAAACCTCCAGGGATTTTCCTCCCTTCTGCTCAGCCCCACCAAACACACAACCCCCAACCCTCCTTTGGAAGCGCATTAAACCACTCTGCAGAGTTGGGCCAAAGGCATGGCTTTCTGAAATCAGGGAGCGCTGAACGTCATTTATCAGCTCTTGGGAAACAGTTTTATAACATATTCTTCCACTGCATATGCAAGACTGCCCCTAACCCTAGACAGTCCCTGTAGCCACTTTCCTGGCATCCTGCATCCACCACCACGGGAAGCCTTGGACACGCCTGTGGGACAGGGCCATCACAGCCAGCCCTCTGCAGCATAGGCCTCACGAATGACCTCCTGGCACACTCTGGGTAGCGCTATTACATCTGCCCCACACCAGCAGCTGGGCTGCACGATTGTACAAACTCAGGAAGGAAGTGACTCAAGGGTAAGCAGGGGTGGAAGAAACCAGCGGCAGACACCTTCTTGTCAGCCACAGCTTGCAGCAACAAAACGGACAGGGACAACTAGTAAGTGAAGGCACAGGAGAATAAGCCACCCACCCCCCCCAAGAGCATTTAAGGAAAGGCAGTTATGCCCTGCAACGTACAGAGGATGAGGATCTGCACCGTGCATTTCCTTGACTTGTTTGCTTTGAGAGGAGGCCCCTGTGCTCTTTAGCAACGTTCTCCCCCACCCTCCAGGCGGTGCAGCAAACACCTGAGCAGGGAACTTGCATCCTGTGCCCCGTGCTGCCTGCACACCTTCATCCCCCTTTTGGGCACAGGGCAGTCTCCACCCAAAGTTCCCCACAGAGAGTTTCAGGGCTTGGTGATACCTCAAAGCTGGTCTATTGTCCCTCCACTAGAGGCTACAGGGCGAGGGGGGACAACAGGGGACCCTGTTCAACCTTCACCTTCCCTGGCTCAGAACCTCCTATGCTCCTGGAATAGTTTAAAGGAAATGGAAAGCCTGGTCATTGAACAGCAACAGCTAAAGATTGCTGTTAGCAGCCTCCTCAGCAGGTTCAGAGCAACTTCAACCCTGCACTCCCTCACCAGACCAGGAGGCTCCCAAAAAGGCTGGGCTGGAGCAAAGCACGTGTTGCTTCTGGACTGGGCCAGCAAAGCAGTCCCGTCCTGTTACGCAGGATGCTGCAGCTCACCTTGGAGGCCACCACGGCCACGCAGCCATAGGTGGGAGAGCTGTGGAAAGGCAGCACAGCTGCCTGCTGCTCTCGCAGGCCAAGAACTGGTAGGCAGGGGTGCAGCTGGATCTCCCAGCCGTGGCGCTGGCATGCACTGCCCACGCTGCCCTGGCATCCCTACTGCATACATCTAATGCGAGCATGGGAACAAATCATACCTGGCTGCAGCCAAACTGACCATTATGTACAAAGCAGAGAGGCACTGGAGGAACACAGAAATAATGCAGCAGTTGTACGGCTCCTCTCTCTGCACCACTAACCAAACTCCACTTTGTCGAAGATACCAGACAACAGAAGACAGCGTCCTGGTCACTCTGTGCGAAGCAGCGTCTCATGTCTAGAAGTCATAACTGCACCGTTTGGTTCGCTCTGAATTTGCTTTCATCTAAACCCTAACGGCAAAGATTAGATTCCTCACTTACAAACACATTGCTTCTGTGGTCACCCTGCCTGAAGTATCTATGCTAAGCCTGACTTTCAAGCAGCTCAAAAATGGTTCTGTCTGCGTAAATTTGATTTCACTCCTCTTTGTTCCCACAAATCTAATCTCTAAAGTCCTCTAATCAGATTTTAGTGGGCCCTCAGGCTCAAAAACTACTTGGTTTAGCCGCTGCACAGAGTGGGCCAGAAAGTTCTACTCAGTGAGAGGAGAGTCTATACTTCCCCCTCACTTTATGTGATCTAATGAACTCTCCAATGCCTGGCTGAATTGGATCTTCTCTTCAAAAGACCAGGCTCCTGCGTGATAAGATAAAGACTTCCCAGTTCTCTTGGGAAGCCATCCCGAGGCTTCCCCACGCAGCTCATATCACTAACACCCATGTACCTTCAAGGCAACCCCGTCGCTGCCTCCCAGCCCACCCCACGGCCCTGGTGCTCAGCCTCAGCCCCTGCACCAGCAGGAGCCTTGCGGGCTCCCAGCAAAACTCGCGCCGCCAAGCGGGACCGTGCCCGGGGGCCGCGGCC